TCGCTCCCCCAACCCCACGCCACCCCCCACACTTCCTGGCCCCCCAAGAGCCTCGCTATCTCCCCCAGTAGAGGGCTCTCTTCGAAGACACCCCTAGGGGTGGGGGCCCCATTCCCTCCTTATCCCCCCCAACTCACTTCCTGCTTTGCCCAGGCAGCTGTCAACAACACGCCTTGCTTTACGGCCACCGGCACACCATTGTCGCAAACCCAGCGCAGCAGTCGACTTGCTTTCCGGCCTCCCCCGGCGGAAGGTGGAACCCGGGCTCGCGGGCAGCCCTACGCAGCAGAGCGCTCCGGCTGAGGGGAGGGGACTACATTTCCCAGAAGACACCGCAGGGAGGTAGCAGAATCGCGCCTGTGTAATAGGGGAGGAGGCGTGCCCTACAGAGGGGCGGGGCTAACAGCCAAAGGTCGGGAGGGAATTTGGAACGCTTCAGCGGAGGGCGTGGCTGAGAGGCAGAGCGGAAGACACCGGGGCTGGGCCCCGACTAGGGGGCGGAGCTAAATGCCCGACCAGGGAACTGAGGGCGGAGCGGCGAAGCGAGAGGGGCGGAGCCAAGGAAAGGGCGGGAAAAGTGTTAGCCGAAGCGCGCGCGAACCCCTCGCGGCGATGCCGGCGCGAGCCCTGAGGCGAAGGGCGGGGCAGGGGGTGAGCCTCAGGTTGGGCGGGAAAACCCTGGTTGTGCTGAGGGGAGCGAATACCCCTCTTCTCTCCTCTCTCCTGAGGTGAATATAGAGCTTCCTTGGGGGCAGGAGGCCCACACCCCGAGGACACCCCCGGGCCTCAACAGACACCGCAGGGGTGTCGCTGGGCTGCCCGGCGCCCTCCCGCCGCAGCCAAACAACACGTGACAGTGCGTCGGCAGGATGCGGTTGTGCCAACAGGCCGCTCGCCCGCAGGAGATGGGCCACTTCCGGCGATCCCGGTGTTGGTGTAACGGCGTGATGCCAAGATGCCACCGGGTCACAACGAGATAGCGACGCGCCAGCGAAGGCGCCGTCGCCCCGTGCTGGCGAGAGCCGGCCGGGGAACGGATTTTCTGCCCCGTGACGAATTTAGAAATTCTGAGGCAACGTGGCCTGAATTGAGACAAAAGGCTAAAGTTTCCAAACAAAAGTCTAAATAAAATGATGGTTTTAAGGCCATTGAAAACGTTCGCTTTTGATACATTTGAAATGTTTCCGTTTGATTTTTGACTATTTGACGTAGTTTTGACTGTACATTTTCAAAACCCCAAGCTGCTTCGAAATGAAAAATTGAAGCGTTCTCTTCTGAAAATGTCAAAACGGGATGTTTCCACATTTTAAAAACTTTTTCCAATTTTTTGTTTTTTTTTTCAAAACAAAATTTAGCCAAAATAATACAAAAATTGGTTTAGTTGAAATAGCGTTTTCCAATGGAAAACTTCCAGTCAGCTCTAGTGCTGGCACAATGTTGGCAGACCATAATGCCAGCTGGTGATGAGGAGATGTGCCATTCGCAGTGACATCACTACATTGCATCGGAGTGGCACGGTTTTCTCAATAGCAAGCCCATACCACCGCAGTTCACTCCCTGCAGAAAAGTGATTTACCAGGAAGCTGGCCACTCTGAGAATAGAAAGAGCTGCAAAAAGAAGCAACTCATTGCCCACGCCTTCTGAGCTGGTTAAATCCTGATTTCCTAGCTCACTGGTAAAACTGCAGGCAGATGGGGTGCTTGGTGCTTGGCCTTTCTAATTGAGTTCTTGAATAGTGTCAACTTTGTAAGGTGTCTAGATACTTTGATTATAGGTATAACAACATGTGGGCAAAATCTGTATCCCTGTAGCCGAATAAACTGCATAACTTCACGCTGTCTTGCATGAGAAGACAAGGTGGGTGAGGTAATATCTTTTTTTGGACCAACTTCTGTTGGTGAAAGAGACAAGCGTTTGAGCTACACAGTGCTCTTCTACAAGACGGCTGCAACAACACTGCAAATACCTTTGTCTGGCATATCTGCTCAAATGCTATGGATGGAAAAAGTATCTTCTGGAATTATGTACTAATAATTTTAAAAATCCATAGTAAAATGTCAACATTTATGTTGAATGTGTTTTGCCTTGTATGAAATAACATACACCAAGACTTGTGTATCTTGAGCAATCTCATGTGTTTCCCCCATCTAGATTTACCAAGCCGTCAAGATGAATAAAAGGAAGAAAGAACTGTCAGGTAATAATAATGTAATACCAGGGCCTAGTTTGGTGCTACAAGTGGGTGTGAGATGCCACCACTCTCTCCCCCCCCCAATCTAGTAGAGTCCAGGGGTGTATTGAAGGCCACTAGTTTCATGTACCTGGTGCTGGAGAATAATAAGAGGGCTTCATGTTTCTAAAACTGAATTGGCTCTTTATTAAGATATTTTTTTACAGAGATGTTGTCTACTCTAGCATTCAAACCATGCGTAGGCAGACTGGTTCCTGCCTGGTGCCTCCTCCAAACCTTTCCGCCCTGCAAAATGTGTTTCTCCATCTAAGTTCCATGCAGGTTGCTACACTACTGAGAGGAATCTGGTTTCAAGGAGTTTCAGAGAGTACATACACTCATATTTTTAAACAACTGCACAATCTATTGTGAGCCACTGCTGTCTCATTTTGGCACCTCACATGGGCAGATCTTACTTTGTGGGTGGAGCTTAGAAGAGTACCACCACCCACAGACGCTGGCTTCCTCCAGGCCCTGGGGGGTGCTCAGCCCCACCGCTCTGCCCCACCCCCATGCAGCCCCTTCCCCCAAACCCCCACTCCTGCCCTGCCTCTTTCTCCTCTTTCTTCCCCTACTCCATCCCAGGCCCTGCCCCCACCCGTTCTCTCAAGTCCCCATCCCCACCCCTGCTCCACCTCTGCCCTCCCTCTTCCCACCTAGTTCCACCCCTTCCCCAGAGCAAGCCCCCCCCCCCCCAGTGCCTCCTGCATGCTGTGGAACGAGCAAGAGGCGCTGGGAGGGAGGGGGAGGAGTTGATCTGCAGGGCCAGTGGGGGTGTGTGTGTGGCTGCTAAGCACCCACTAATTTTTTTCTGTGGGTGTTCTAGCCCTGGAGCACCCACAGAGTTGGCGCCTATGCCACCACCTTTTCCCCTCCTTTCTCCCTGCTGCACAATACTTTGCACTTCTATAGCAACTTTCATCTGAAGATCTCAAAGCAGTTTACAGATATCAATTACATTTACAACCCCTTTGTGTGGTAGATATCTATTATTATCCCTGTTTTGCAGATGAGGATATGGAAGCACTGAGATGTGCAGCAATTTGCTCGTAGCCTCACAAGAAGCCATTGACAAAGCAGGGAATAGCACCCAGTCGGCTCCTCCAGTTCCTTTATAACACTTCCTCTCAGGCAGTGCTTAATTTGTAAAGAAAGAGGTGCCTGGGCTCAAACAATAACAATGGCATCCTCTGCACAGCATGACCTCACATGCACTGGACATACGAGGTCACACTTTGTATGTCAGTGACAGAAGAGGTAAAGCTCTGCTCTCAAGTGGTTTTGTTTTAATAAATATTTCATGAAGTTTCTCAGTAGTCCGCACTTAGAGACCCTGGCTGTTTATCAGGTAGCAAGCCCATTTCTTCTTGTTTGGGTACACAAGAATTCACCATTTGCATTGTGTGCTCCTGCTGTCTTTCTTGATTGCGTTTGTTCTTACACCATGGGCTATCAGAAGGGAGTCTGGCCTGGTGCCTCTTAGTACAATTGGTAATAAAGGAATAAAGTTGATGATTTTCAAGTGGGGAGCACAGTCTGCAGTTCTTTGGAAACAATCCTCATCTTTTTACCCTCATCTAACTGAAACACACTTTGAAGAATCAATAAATGCTGCATCTTTAAAAATCCAGCACAGCACGACAGTGCATTTAAAAAACACTCTAGAATCAATCAGATCTGCTTAGGTTCTTTTAACTTTGATGGGGAGTATGGGAAACTGGTACTCCTAGAGGGCTAGCAGCACTTGAACTTTCTATTCAAAGGTCAGATGGCAGCGCATGCATGCAAGAGCAAGCTTCCTGCCAATGCATTGCAGTAAGGACAGAAAGGCAAAGCACCTGATTCTGC